TTTGTCTAAATGTTGTGGCGGAACATCCGATTCTTCTGAGGTTTGTATAACATTTTGTTAGGTTCACTAACAGGCTTATTCACGACACGTAGCATTATTTTGCAGGGCGCGAGCAGAGGTATTGCATGCTATAGAGTAGAATGTTGGTAGCTCAGGTAGTATAGATGGTCGTTGGTTTGTTCGCTGAGCTGGGCAATTTGATTGTAAACCCGTCGAGGTGACATCATCCATCCGTTGTTATGGCCAACCACCAACCCATCGCTACGCACCAATGCGCTCCCTAACAACGCACGGATGATATCACCTCGATCGGTGATGAGACGTTAGCAATCAAATTGCCCAGCTCAGTTAACAAACCAAAGATGTATTGAATATGTGTGTATTTTCAGAACCCATCAGGATAAAGATGAGAAACTTAGACGGCAGCCAATAGGGCGTCTTTCTTACAGTTCTTGGTACACAACTCTGGAATTTTCCCGTGACGATGCTGCAAACTAGAACATAATAACCGTTAACTCTAACTACCGTCCCGGCACCAGTGCCTATTTCCAGAAAAAAGACTCACCAACAAGGAACACAACAACTTAATTGCGAACAAGCGAGTAAGTGCAAGTACAACCGCCTCGCACTGTATTCCTGAGGACACTGTCTGACCTCAATCCAAGCCTGGCTGACTGGCGTTTAGTGGAGTTTTGAGGGTTTCAATAGGTTTCCGGTATTCCGGGATAATTTCCAGGAACCTGACCTTCCCGACAAAAACTCACTTCAGGGTTCTCTCATCGTACTTCGTATCAGTGTACTTGAGGGAAGTGTTGCGATGAACCTTTATCATTGCGGTCGTTCCGCAGCCTGTGGGTTATGTTTTTTTTTTCGGTGTATGTGACACATTCACGTGAAGTCTTCTCAGCATAGTTTGTCGGTGAGCAATGGGAAAGAAAATACGACTTGGGCCCCTATTAATTATGATTGGAATTAATCATCACGGCCAATTTCCCCAAGTTTCCGTGTAGCAAGCCTACTCATGTCACGTACTGCCTTCAGGTAAATGATGAACGTTAGGATACAATCGAAACCGCAACCTTTTCTTATTATGTGAATAAGTCTCAGTGGTTTGCCTTTAGCGTCTTCGGCAATGTGGCGAAACTATGATATTTTCGTGACAATGTTGCTTCCAAAAACACTGCACCACAGTACAGGGCTCATTCTGTGCTTTTCGGTTTGTTGACAGCCACTTTGACGCGCTCCTGTAAATCAGCAAACTCGATGTGCTCCAGTTTGCCTGAGAAATCCCATTGTTACGAAAGCTTTATTCCGTGTTCATGGATCAGAAAAAAATACGGCAATCGACGGGGGCGAGATGGCCCAAATGGTTAGAGCGCGAATTTACTGACCGGAAGGTCCGTGGTTCGAACCCGACCTCTGCCTCTCGACTTCCCCTGTCTAGGCTTGAGCAACCTGGCAGTATCCCAGCCCTCGTGCTTCCTTCGGGTGGCATGGCAGCTAGGTACCGAAAGGATGCTACAGCTGAGAGATTTAAAATTTTTTTACGGCAATGGATTCCCGTCCATATTGGTTTTTGTCCCAATTTCAGGTTCCGCAATTTCCCAACTAACCTTTATACTTTCACCTTGAATATCTTCAGTTTCGTTTACTAATAGTCTCATATCTCCCTCTTGTATTTTCGTTGTTCTCTATCCACATTTTTGTATGCACACCACATGCATATATTCAGAGTTCGCCGTACCTTGGAGACTCGACAGACGATGGAGGGCGATCGAATCGTTCGGCTGACCAAACTTTTACAGCATTCCACTAAAGAAGCTAGTGTTTCGAAAACCAAATATGAGGAGGTATTGCTGGTTTTTACGTTTTTTCCCGTATTGCTTTTTTATTGCAATCCATTATTATTCTACTGATTTCCCCTGAACAACTGTCTTCCCATCACAGTGGCCGTAAAGTCTTGGAAAACCGTACGATTGCTGATGAGGAACGCATCAATCAGTTGGAAGAACAACTAAAAGAGGCCACATTTATGGCCGAAGATGCTGATCGAAAATATGACGAGGTGATGATGGCTTGTGCAGCCTGTGTGTGTGTGTGTGTGTTCGGTTAGCTATGGAAACGCATGCATGCTGTCTGTGCATGGTACTCCCTACGTCTTGAATTCGACCCCAGTCACGACTGGGTGTGGTGGATTGGTGCATGACTTTGACGTCTGCGGCTTGCTTTGTCATTTTTCCCTCAGGGTTAGGTTTGTTACCGGTTTCGGGTTTTTCCTACTTGTAGGTTCTGTGCTTCTGGTTTGTTGGTTTCACGTCGCATAACCAGGCGTCTCATCCGATGACATCCAATTGCATGTTCTTTTTTTCGGATTAAGTTGCCCAGGTGTATGTAGTAGAACCTTTCTACAGTGACAGCTGGCTGAACTGGTCAGAACGGTCATTGCAGAGGTGGGAGCACTGTAAACGGGACTGTAATTCAGCGTGAAATGGTATATATAACTCACTTTCTATTTTCAAGAGGCTGAGGTCAACTGGTGCTAAAAAAGACGAAGAATCTTTCAGTAATAGTGATAAACGAAAAGCTCATGGGACCATCAGAAAGCATTATTTTGGGAGTACTGCGCTATAGTGAAATTCTGCCTTGAACTGGCAGCGTAGTGAAAAACACGTGGGGACAGTTGAATAAACTAATCGCTGTACCCCAAATGATCTTAGCCCTTCGTTCAGCTAAAGGTATCATTCATGAATACTGTTTGGCAGAAATGCACCAATGTTGAAATGGTGACAGTAGTGATCCGATCTCAATAAGCTGAATATTAATCCTCAATTGGGGACTCTTAGCAGATGTTGACTCAACTATGAAGAACGTGTCCTTGCTGCTATATCATAGCACAACCTGGGCCACTATGTCACTGGTTGACTCATCCAAGTGGTGTACCTCGGATTATTCGTAGATTCCTCTCCGCTCAACCATTCGTTGAGCAAAAATGATACCAAGATGGTAAAGTAACGACCGGAAAGTGCGGTCGTGTTCTGTGGATGCCATCTTCGTGATCGGTGCGAGATATGTAATGAGGTAAAAGTGACCCAGTCACGTAGGTTTCCCCCTCAAAGTTGGTCTTCTAGCTACCCACAACACTGACAAAAAACAGAGAAATTGACACATCCTCTGTCTTTCATTTCTTGTCATCTGTTTATACTGAACTGGTGCGGGTTATTACCATTGTGTAACTCGTCCCCTTTTATCAGTTTTTGGGGAACTACAGTAACTGGAATAAATGTACAGTTTGTAACCAATATGCTGTTGTTTTTTGTTGAGCATACAAATTAGTCAGTTTTTCGGCTATCGTATATTCGTTCGGAACGGCAGGGGCTTTTGTAGATAAGCCTCATTGTTCGCCACCCGAAAGGACTTCAAACACTCACCACAATCAACACGCCAGCTCACTGAAAAGCCTCTTTTGGCCCTGAAGCCAATACACAACTTGTGACAAATGCTCACACATTCGATAGTCCAACTGCGGATCCACATTCGTATGTCTGTACTGGCAAATTCAACCTACGTAACATGTCATTGCTCAAACTAGTTTCATGACATGAATTCGGTCAGGACAGAGTTCTCCACTGGGAACATACTGCTTTCGTCTCGCATCTACACGAAACTCTCGTCTAGAATTCGGCTTCGACATGTACGCGCTTGTTTGCGTTACTATATTTAGTGTTCCAAAACTCGGAAAATTGTGTTCTATGGAATGACCGAATGCGGCACAATGTGCTATGACATCTTTTACCGAAAATTATTCGATGAAAAAATCTAGGCTTCCGACAGACACGGGGCGATTGTAAACCGGTGTTGTGTGCCTTTTTAGGAGTATCATCCAACAACCTCCGGCAGTGGTGTACACTTCCGCGTTCCTCGCGGCTTAAATTGGCACACTTCGCTATGTTTCTTAACCAACTGTATGTTTCTTTGCTAAATGGCGTTAATGCATATTGCATCTTATCTCGTATATAGTTGTTCCTACCACCATAGGCCCATCGGTGCTTGTTCCCACTGGTTTGTCGAAGTAATCTACTCTTTTCCCTCCATTTTTGCCTACTGTCGTGCTCATCCCCTCGGTATGGCAACGTTGCGTATCCTATCCACCATCTCTCGCGTCACCTACGTGTCTCTAGGCTGCTCGTAAGCTGACCATCACTGAAGTGGAACTCGAACGGGCCGAATCTCGCTTGGAGGCTGCGGAAAGGTACCTACCTTTATCTGTCGCTGTCGCTCACTGTTTGTCGCTTCTGTTGCAACACACTCACACACATACACATGCCTCTTCGGCATGCCATGGCAACTGCCTTTGTTGTGTAACTATGTTTTGCGGAAAATTCATAGCCGCCGCTTGTCAGATGTCGATCCAGTACTAGGTTTTGAGGCTAAATAAGTAAATGTGTGTTGTCTTGTTCATTACTCCCGCTACCCCCGCTGCATGTGTCTTTTTTTATACACCTGTTTTGGGAGGATGAATAGTGAGTCAACTTCACTGTTCATAACTCCCACCCAGCTCTTCGACCCTCTAATTCCGCTTGGGTTTTGCTGTCTGTCTGTCTCTTTCCGTGCACATCCCACTGTCGTGCGCTGCCTTGTCTCACCGTTTGGTCGTCTCGCGCTCGTGGGTTACTGCTGACGCTGATGCTGCCGCTGCTGCTGATCCTGCTCCTATCCAACTTGGTTTGTTGCCCGCTCCCACTCCCCTTCATGCCTACTCACTAACTCACTCACTCACACACGCACACACAATACTCCACGGCGTATTCGTGCGTCACAACGACCCAACTACCGCCACAGGCCACCAGGAAAATGGCTGTTGTCGAAGTGTCCCTTTCTCACGTGGAAATTCAAATCGAAACGTCCGAAAGGTACCTCGCTCAAGAGACTTAGTGATCTGGCCTGCTGCCTAGTACCGTAGTATGTGTGCATTCTAGTCACTACAACCACTGTCGTCATCACTCCAGTTCGATATGTTTGCCTGTGGTGCTTTGATTTTTCCATGCACACCGCGATTACCCCTACCTTGGTATCTTGGATTGACGTTTCAAGTAGTGAATACCCTTCCGGGCGACGCATTTGTATGAGTAGAAGTCTTCTGCATGTGTCACAACTGTTCCATTTGCTTGGTCGACCTTTGATCCTGGCCCCACCCCACCTCCAGCTTGATCTCAGCTAGACTGCTTGATCTCAGACCATCACCAGTCCTTCAAGATATTGTTTTTTTTATGGCCTCTCCCTCAAAGAGGGTTATCATCTGTTACTGCTTGGACAAACAGACAGCTTGTACTTGTAGGGATACACTGCCATCCATTGGGCGAGATGGCCCAAGTGGTTAGAGCGCGAATTTACTGACCGGAAGGTCCGTGGTTCGAACCCGACCTCTGCCACTCGACTTCCCCTGTCTAGGCCTGGGCGACCTGGCAGTATCCCAGCCCTCGTGCTTCCTTCGGGTGGCATGGCAGCTAGGCACCGGAAGGGTGTTACAGCTCAACGATTATATTATTCGTATTTTCAACCCTTGGGACTGAATCCGGCGGCGTACCGTGAATGGATGCTAGTTATGTTCACTTCGCTATCTGGTATCTGAACGTTGTGATCCCAGTAGGCGGTGGTGGCTCCCTTCTAGTGCTTTGGCCGACTACCTTGGCTTCCACGGGGGCACATCAGCTTCGATCAGTGCGCGTTTCAGTAAGAATGGCGGTCTTGAAGGTAGTTTCTTCATCGGTAGTTGATGGTAACTTGAGTGATTTTCGTTCACTGTTGATTGGCTAATGGTGGACGTCATCCTTCAGAGTTGCAGTTATTTTGGCTAAACGATGTTTCCTCGCCTTGTGGCGGTATAATTTGTGGGATCACCTGAACGTCCCCTCAAACTGTTGTCGTTGGTAGATATCCAACCCAAAAGTGCGCAGACTGAGTGATATTCCAGTGTTAGTCAAAACCACGGATGGGACAGCGTAATTGCCATTTTACTTGGTCATTTATTGGCGGAGAATTCAGTTGGGTGACCAAGTTCGTGATGTCGCATTTCTAAGGGGCAACATTGTACCCATCGAGATCTCCCAACGATCTAACGAAAAAGCGCTTACTGTTCTATCTGTCTGTCAAAATCTAGCGTGGATCGATCACCGGGATTGAGCTATCTAGAGAAAGAGTGGGTGGTTTAGACAACATGCACATAATTATTGTCGGTAGTTATAAAAGTAAACTGTAGTTTGAAATGTATTATTTGGTTCGGAGTTCGTTTCATAAAGCAATCAAGTCAAACTTTGTGATCACCATATCCCTAGCTTTATTTAGAGTTTTTGGCAAAACAAACCCTTCCGTCCTGTACTTCGAGCCAATCGAAATAAACAGAAAGCCAGCGTCTAATTCGTGAGGCGCAGCACCCACTTGGAAGCACAAGATATCGTGACGTAGTTGCCTACCAAAAAACTTACTCCGACCCTCTGCGCTTCACGACAGTCGTACCATGTGAGAGGTGCCTTGTTCTCTGCCGCCGACTTACTAAATTAGTTTGTTCCGCAAATCAGTTACGGCATGTTTCTGTCTGCAACTGCTTGCCACAACAAGTTGGGTTTACTCTTGCGCAGGCGTATCCACGCATTCAGCAGTTTCATTACTCTCGTGGAAATAGTCTACGAATTTGGACCCGCCAAAATTTCCAATTGTGGAGCGAAGGTTTCTACCTGAGTGAAACGCCGTCATGTGTAATGGCATTACCACAGACGTAGCTGGTCTTGTTCGCGGCATATTGTTCCACTTGGTGATCTTGAGTGTTGTTCGAGGAGAGAGAGGTACTAGTCCGCGTACTAGTTCTCCGACTGTCCGTAGTTGAGCGAGTGACGTCAGCACGTACAAAAGCTCAGTCACCGAACGTAATGCTATGAGTGATTTCAGTGGGTTAGAATAAAAGCTTGCTCTTGGACATCACCTCAATCCTCTGTGAAATACCTTCTTTCAACAATGTTGGTAATTCAGGTTCCACTGTGGGTCATTGATTCGTTCACCACCCTGAGTGTATATTGCTGGTACGCGGTTGATGCTGACGTAAATTGTGATTGTGGGATCGTCAACAGGCAGCGGGACTACTCAGATCCTTTTATTTACTGTGATGACTTCACGACACGCATACTGACGCAGAATTGAATATCCTCAGCAAGCAGCTGATTGCAGTAGGGTGTGTATTGGCGGATTCCGAAGGCAACTGAGAACTCAACATCATGTGACATTTCTTATCAGCTGTTTTGCCCACGAAGGGTGTGAAACTCATTTGACTTTAACTTTAAAAAGTGGTGCACGCACACACTGATTTATGCATGTTTTTCCACCCCGTTCTTTGCATGTCATTATCTTGTTATCACCTGCGCATGTGTACCCTCCGATGATGCCCTCCGCCGCCCTCCGAATGCTGCGCATGAAAGTCGAATGCGGGAATTGCAATCCCTAATACACGAGGCATCCTCCCGTCTGAAGTCTTTGGAGCACCAAGAAGCCCAGGTTTGTGTGCCCTGCAGTGTGCATCACGTGTTTTTTTAAACTCAGGGTAAATATTTTATCTGCATAATTTTCTGTCTGTGGTCATTGGTAATCATGTTACAGGCACGTGGTAGCTTCTGTAGTTTGACTCAGTATAAGAGTGTATCTTGTCGATCTGCATGGCCGCCTGCTGGACACAAAAAAAGAGATAGTTTTTTTTTCAATACGGTGCACGTGACTACCCAGGTCGTGCACCCACATAAGCTCTTTCTCATCACGCGCGGGCGATCGATATCCTGGTTGACTTTTGACGTTCTTGTTGCTCTTCTCCAAACCAACGTAATGCAACCATCACCCGTGTTCCTTCGTCCGTCTGCTCGTTTCCTACTTCACAAGCAAAATCACAGAACTGGAAGAAGAGCTTCGCATTGTTGGAAACAACGTCAAGTCCCTGGAGATTTCCGAACAGGAGGTAGATGTTTCGTTTTTGTTGGTTTTGTTTTTGTCTTTGCCTTCTTAGAAAGTGATAATGGGCTCTCGACCTGGAAACATCTGTTGATTGGAATAATTATACCTCGAGGTGTGAACTACTGACCAGGAATTATTGGGTTCAAACTCGCGCCTTTCCATTACTCCTACCAGTATCTCTCGCTAGCGATCTTTTCGCGTTGCATGCACCGCAAACGTGCCAAAGATGAGAGCTGATACCAAACTGAAGAATGTTACTTAGGTTATTGTAGATTGTACACCCGTAAAGTGGATAAGTCCGTCTTCATCCTCAACTGAATAAATGCGATCAAATCCTTAGTAAAGTATATCGCCTTATACAAATACACTCATTTGCTTATCAATTTGGTTTCAATGAGACTCGCCTGAAACCCAGCTGAATCTCTCCTTTATGATCTGTTTTACGCAACTGAATGTGCTGCATCAGGCCGTTTCAGGCTGTTTCAGTTGGCACGATATTCGAGATATGGCGATACAAATATAGGCATAGTACACTACTCATAACAGCATCATATCCGTGTTTCGAATCAGTATAAAACTACGTTTTGGTCGTGAGTCCTATCGTTCCTAACGATGGAAAGGACCTCTGTGTTTCCATGATGAACATCATTCATGCAAGCCTCTTGAAAGTTTGGACATGTAAGCATTGTCCTCATACCTTTCAAGCCACAGGTTGCAAACAACAGATGACCTTGCGGCTTCCCTCGAGTCACATTACTCACGCCTTATCTAGATAGTATCTTTCATCCATAAAGTGATCTACTACGGCTTGGAATGGTTGCTTTCTCACCATATCTCTGTAGACACTGAGTCTGATAAACATTTTCTTGTAGGCTGCCCAACGTGAGGAAGCCTACGAAGAAAACATTCGTGATTTGACCGAGCGCTTGAAAGCTGTAAGCCGCCCCTGGCATGGACCTGTGCTGTTGCGCATGCTGTGCGATGATGTTTTAGCACGTGTTGTCGCGTTCATTGACTTGCCTGTTGTCCAAATAATGGTCACCTTGTGTGCTTCTCCCTCCCCCATTTTCCCATCATTTGCATGCGGTACTCCTCGTTCTCTTGGTTCGCTTGCCGTCCCTTGCATGCGCTGGACTTCCTTGTCTTCGTCACCGTCGATGTAGGCCGCAAAGACACGAGGATTACACGAATCCCGATTAAGCTTGTTGACCAAGAAGTTGGCAGAGGTAGTCCTTGTTTCATGTTTCATTTGTACAACTTGTTTTATTATTTTCCATAATATGTGTGGCTTGTGTTTGTAGCATGTGAAATACAGGCGGAACTGCTGATTTGCTGTGAGAAGTAACTGTGTTATGTCATCCTAAGTTTGCTCGATACCCGTTAAGTCAATCCGACCACCAAGGCTGCTACTCGGAACGTCTTCTGTATCCTCCCATATACGTTCGTAATCCATCTATCTGTGATGGCTTGATCCGGCCGATAAAGTGGGTTATTTGAACTTTCTTCTGTGCGCAGCATCAGAATGATCTGATGTATGTTTTGTTTTGTGGACCCAGTTGAGAAGCCTATTGTCGAATCCTCTCCCTAAGTGTGGTGCAGCCATCTAGGACTTAGTGCTAGGTTACTACAATCATTCCGAGGTGCCTACACCTCCAGACATTCACTCAGGCAATCTGGATAGAAACTGACAACAAGAACGCAACTGACATCGCCTGGCAGCCATATCATGTGGTAGCTCCAACCAGGCGCGGGATGGCTTAGTCCTGACAGACGCAACTGACATCGCCTGGCAGCCATATCATGTGGTAGCTCCAACCAGGCGCATTAGGGATCACGTGGTCCTGACAGCACCCAAGCGTTTCGTGATCTCTTTCATACTCCTCTGCCAAGTCAAGTCAAGGGTTGGCCACGTCGCTGCTTACGCCACTGTGAGTTGGGCATGGAAAACAGCGCTCTTTCCGGCAAACGATGGTTAGGCATACGCAACACACGTCCCAAATAACGCAGCTTCTGTTGCTGGACACATTCTTCAATGGAAGTTCCTGTTACACAACCGAACACTCGCTTTCTAATTGCCTCGTTCCGGCTACGCCGACACCAGCCCACACAAGCAATGGAACGATTCTCGAACACCTGAAGACGTCTCAGTTCCGCTGCTCGAACGGGCCATGCAACAAAGCAGCCCACACTGTAGCTCGATACACATGTCCCTTGAGATTCAGGGATACACCACTCTGACGCCATAGGTGTCCGAAATTAGCAAACGCCACCCGGGCCTGATTGACAAATAAGTGCATGAATTTCCTATTCGAGGCTGACAGCAAGCCCGCCCCCGACCCTTAGATTAGATGGTTTACGCTCCGGAGTGTCTCTGTTGATCTCGGAAATTTACTTTCGTTGCGTAGATTGTCAAGCCATCCTCGGGTTTGTGCTAGCCTTTTCGCAGCTTACGTAACCCTCAGTGCATGTCGGCCTTGTGATGGGATCAGGTGGCAACTTGCATGAACGGGAGATTTTTTGCTCTCCATACTATAAAATCCTTGTCCTCCTCCATCCCACTCCCAGGCTGAAGATCGTGCTCAGGAATCCGAGCGATTGGTGAACACCCTTCAGGCTGACGCCGATCGCCTCGAAGGTAACGATGACCCCTTGCCGGTCCTCTAAACCCTTGACTCATTTCTTGCTTTGACGGCATCTTGTCCCCATGGAAAATTGGTTTAGGTTGTTTCGGTTTTCGTTTGATCCAGATTGCATGCCGCACGTATCCGTGTGTGTTTTTCCCACTAACTAGCATGACAGCATCTTGTTTTGTATTCTCCGCGCATGTCCCGCTCTCCTGTTCACCAACTGCTCCTCACGCGTATACATTTCGGACCAACGTGGACTAGGCGGAAGCCCGTTCGAAAGAGGCGAGTCAATTGGAACAGGCCAAGCAAAGTGAATTAATCAAACTTGAAGGTGAGTCACGGCTCGGTTTTCTGTGTCTGAAACTCTCGATTGACCCGTTTGTTTCTTTCTGCTTCTGCATTACCGGTTACTAGTGGTACATATAAAGCCAAGCGGGTGCTCCTTTAGCACAAAAAGTATCGATATCCAGGGCCTGCGTTTGAACAAATGAATGTGAGATTCGCTCATTATTCAATCATAATTAAGCCAGATTCTGGATCATTCCATTTATCGACATGAGGAATAGGTATCAACTCTGTTGGTGTGCCTCACTTGACTTCAACTCTAAGCTAATTCACCTTTGTATTCAGAATATCTATGACCGCGTTTCTGGCCTGCTTTTGTTCACAAGTGTGATACCTGTAAAGCACGGCCAACCTGGTGTTCAATTCAATGATTATTTTTCACTTAACTGCGTAGCTTCAACCGACACACGGCCGAGGTAAACTTATCTACGAAATGCTTATCGATTTTTTCGGTCTTGTTCGTATCAACCGTACAGAATTCCGGAAGTCCCATGCGCGACAATAAACTAGGCTGCTTCCTTCGTTCGAGGTGGTCTTGTTGACACGTGGCTTCCGGCATCCATTTTTTGACGGTTACCGTAGGATGACCTTGAAAACCTGTAAAAGAGTGCCTGTTGGTGATATCCCCGCGGTGTACTCTTTCTGTTACATACCGCAATTTATGGAACCTTAGGGCTCGTCGCTGCAAGATGTTCAGTAATCTAGTCGTCAAAAAGCATAGGTTCACCTTCACGAAGCAAGAATACCGTTTTCTTTTCGATGCCGTCTGTATGCGAGGCCAGAAACCATAGTGGGATCATTATTCCCTGGTCATCCAGTGAAGTATATGTTTTACATCATCATACGTCTTGCGTCAAGTTATTCCGCTTTTTCAATGGGATTGTGAAGTCATCTATTTACCTACACCCCTCGGACGATCAGCCTCCGGAGTTTTGTCGATTGGGTTAGGGCTACATGCTAAGTTCTCTGAATGTTTCACCAACTTCAGACGTCCCACGTTGATCCTTTATCTTGATTTGAAAGCTGCCCCTGATTCTGTCGATCATCAGAAACTTTGGCGGTGTCTGGCGAACAAAGGTGTCCCTTCCAAATTTATATCTCTTACGAGGGCACTGTGTGCGAACTCCTGTGGGCGTGTACGAGTATACTGGTAGCTTTCGCCTGAGTTCACCACTTCCAGTAGTATATGGCAAGACGAACTTCTCTTATCTTTCCTCATCAACTTAGTTATTGATGTGCCGCTTGAAATTCCTCTGCCTGTCTCTTAAATCTCGGGATTCGAAATGCTCCCGGTACGTTCCCTCTCAGACATTGAGTATGCAGACGATATTGCTCTCCTGCAAAGGGTACAGTGTTGTTACAAGACTGGGTTGAATCAAACCTAAACCTCATGCTTGCAGGCGAGTCAATCGACGTCGCAGATAAATTTGCTTACCTGGGCAGCTGGCAACGAAGTACGAAAACACTAACCAGCAAACTTAGTCGGGTGGGCAACCGCGGCCTCCCTGGATGGGGACCCCGGGACTCAATTCACCAATGGTTATTAACACTCAATTTTCAATTCAATTTATCAGCTTTGGACAGTCGATCATAGGTAGGTCGGTTCCAGCCGCTACAGTTTCAATCACTGGAAAATGGGATTGTGTAACATTGGCAGAAACGACCCGGTCGCCCAGTCAGTGGCTCTTGTACGTCAAAGCTATCATCTTCATTATGTGGCTACCCAATTCCTGAACTGACTGGACATGTCATCGGCTCCAAGACTTAGCCGTGTCTCCCAGACTCCTACTTTCCGGTGACCGAAACTGTAGCAGCTAGAACCAGTGTGCCTATGTTACACGGTTTATAGCTGATAAATTGTTGTGATTAATCGATTATTTCACCAGGTAGCCCATTCATCCATGGTCAAGAAACCTTGACCTCGTATTGGTTTTACAGCGAACGAGTTAGAAACGGTTTACCTTTCTCTGTTTTCGCTCTAAAATAGAGATCAGTCGTCAAGTTCTGGAGGCACTTTATACAAGAGCGACACTCTGGATAACGCACGAATTTCGGGTTATCTCATCACTCACTTGAAGAATCGTTCCAGAAATGTGGGTATGGTCACAGGTGGCTGTGTACTGGGACGTGCTTGTTAGTTCACTTCCACTTGTTTGGCAGGTTTAGTCTAGAAATTGCTGCCAATATACGCAGCTGCCGTCCAAAATTGTTATCCGGTGCCCACTACTCAGTTAGTACTCAGTAAGAGCACTTTTGTCGTTCAGCAGTATTCTTCATGAATGTGAAGCATGCTGCGTCGTCCACGACTCTTTCCTGACTATCTGTCGATTTCCGTTCGTGTATTTACAAAACCGAGACTGGTATGGAACACCTGAACAGCTTAAGAGCTAGAATTTGAAAGACCAACGGCAACATTATCTCCAGTGATTTGTTCGAGACTCGGTACTATTTCTACCCGCTCGATGCATCGGAAGTGAGCCCTGGATTCCAGAACTCGATCAGAGGTAGTCTGGTTAGTGAATCGAAAAGAACGGGAAGTCGCCGTTTATCAGTCAATTAAGAGTGCTACAGAACATAGCATGAATTGTCAGTTGCTCGACCGTATCCAGTTTATAACTTCAGCTGCTTACCTTCAGCCTAGTACGTTCATTTTGACCGGTAAACTCTGGCCTGTCATGGTTGATGTCACCTTATCTTGTCTGCTTCTACGGGAATGTGGGTCGGTTTTAGTGATGTCAGGGACCGCAGGGGAAGGCGCTGAAAGATTGACTCAAATCACCGTTCTCATTCAGAGACCGACCCGCCTTCGGACACTCCAGATTTTCGAGAACAGTGTCTGTATGGCGTATAGCTTGAAAGTAGACTATCGTTTTTTTCGTTTTGTGCTGGTAAGCTTATTTACCGTGATTTTAACTCGTTTACATTTTCTCCTGCTGTGCTACAAAGAGAACGGAAGCCTGGTGTTGTGCTGGTCCCCCACAACTAATCTAGTTCATTGAAAGATTCATAGGGACTGTGCTAGGAAGACGTGCCGGCAAGAGAAACTGGTGATCTTCTCATACGCATGACCGGTGCACCCATCGGAATTTATTGAAGGTCAGGCAAGGTCAATCGATGTAAACCCACTAACTATCTAATAGCAATCGATCTACCACTTTATGCAACTAACCTCAGCAACCTTCATCAGGAAGGCGCTAACGCGGTGTGGTTCTATGACGCCAGTACTCCAATTCTTGCCGGGTTTTGTGAATCACGTGTTTTCTCTACCCACCGTATCTTTCCAGAATGTTAGAAGCCGCTTGATCACGTGTCTCATGTGTTCCTCATACGACCTTTATCTTCTTTGCGTTTATTCACAGAGGCCCTGGAAGCTGAACGCCTAAATCATGCCAACTTACGAAAGGAGATGGAGAATGTGCTCAATGAGGTTGAACATATATGAGCCGGGGCATCTCCCGCACACGAAGAGTAGATCTGCAACGGACAGCTGTCATCTTCAACTCACCCTGTGTCACTAATCCAGCCCCAAAGCTGATGACGCAAGCCAAATAACATCATTCTGGCTTGTTCCCCCCCCCGTTGACTCTCATCTATCACCTGCATTGGGCATGTATTCTACCCAACCGCTTCTTTTGGCTGGATCTTGTGTTCTAGCTGCTTCCTACAATATATATAGTCAGTCCATTACTGCATGGTGCTTTGACCTTTGAATGAACTCTCTATCCTATCCATTCACCTCACACAGGGAGAGAACAGTGCATGTGCGTTGTACTCTTGTTAACCGAAATATCTGTTTCTGCGACCATTTTGTTGGTCGACTGCTTCCGGTTTTTATTGCCTGCGCCCGACTGAATCTTACCTGCCCGCCCCTCCCCGCCTGCCTGCCTGCATCTAGGTTTTTTTCTTTGTTTCGCTAATTTATATATTTCCTTTTTTAAATTGCATACTACTCTTCCGGAGTTTTTAAAAGTACTTTGCTATGTATTTTGGGGCGCTTTATTGACGTTTCCATGTGTGGATCCAGTCTCCTGATCGATGCTTTATTACCATGTGATGCTAACCTTGGTTGCTGATTTAGTCGTGAATATCTTGTTTCAAATCTTTCGTATGGTTCGCTTTTCTGTTGCACACTGTGGGTTCTGGTGGGAAGTATTGACTGAACCACTTTGAAGGCAGTCTACTGGCAGTTTACTGGGTGCCTGTTTATCTGGGGTGGGGATGTTCGTTCCACTTTTATGAGTGAACAGAAAGCCTCTGAGTGTGAATCGTAATACTCCACCCTGATGATAACAGGAGCTTAGAAACTGAGTTCCGGTTACCCGAGGTCGCAAAACTGCCGTAGTCATTGTCACTCTAACTTGGCAAACTTACTAGTGGAATGCAGTTCGTTCAGCTGTAGCACCCTTCCGGCGCCTAGCTGCCATGCCACCCGAAGGAGGCACGAGGGCTGAGATACTGTCAGGTTGCCCAAGCCTACACAGGGGAAGTCGAGAGGCAGAGGTTGGGTTCGGACCACGGACCTTCCGGTCAGCAAATTCGCGCTCTAACCACTTGGCTATGCCGCCCGTTCATTCGAGGGTGTCCAGTAGGTGTGAGCTGAATGTTGTTACTTACACCTATCCGGTTGCAGGCTGTCAGCTCTGCATACAGTAGACATGAAATCGTTTTCGGTACATTTTGGAGTGCGACTTCGTGAACTATTTACAACACCAATATCTGGGTGATGGGTGAATTGGAACAGTTGTGGTTTCCGAATTTTACAGCCAAGCATTAACAGAAGAACCCCAGCCCACCTCATTCATTCTGAGTGCTCGATTCTGAGCAGTTACCGCGCTTCGAGTTTTCTTACGGTAATCTATCGAAGAACTAATCAGTACCGACTAGTCAGGGGGTGCTAATTTTTGCCTTCATTAATGATCATAGCTTTTTCTATCGCTCGTGGTTCGTTGTTCAAGACCTAGACTAGGGGAAGACGGTCGTCCATGTAAATGATCAACCCTCACCGTCCGCGTTACTGTCGGCGATGGCTGCGCGGTTTTCGGATCAGTTCGGTTACGTGGTCAACTTAACATAATGTTCCGTGGGAGTCAAATCGTTATTTGGCTCGTACGAACTACGTCCTGTAGTCCTGTAGCTTCTATCTGCATAATTTTTATTGAGTCGCTAAGCAAGCAGGTCGTTTCAGTCAAGTAGAACCTAGAGATAGGGTTATGCATTGATGAGTCCTCTACTTTTTTCCGCTTTTCTCTTTCAGACGAACTTGTCGCAGAGAAGGAGAAATACAAAGCACTCAGCGAGGAGCTGGATTCCACCTACGCCGAGCTTACCGGAAATTAGACAACATAGTGCCTTCTTTCAATCAGCTCCTTGTTCCTTTGATGAACATGAAAAAGGCGGAGTCTCTGCCTCTTTTCTGCTATCTTATGTATTTCTCGCTTCATTTGTCCCTTTGCCAACGTCGTATCACGCCTTTCATTGTGCTCCATTCGTATGTTGACCGATTTGCTGCTCTTCTTCGGGTTGATTTTCCTTTCGTCATGTGTTTTTTTCTCATCCATATGAGCTGCAAATTCGTTGTGGTGCACTCAGTATGATTGCTGAGTTACATCATTCGGATGGTGTCTTCTAATGCTCAGCAGACAAACTATGTTGGTGCTGGTCTTTTGCTCATCCCATTCAGTTAGTTCTGTTTCGTCCACGTGCTGCTGATAGATCTTGATCACGACACTTGTGAACAAAATAATTCTCCCCTATACAACACACAAATATTGTTCGTCTCGACTTTTCAGGTTCTTTTTGCGCGTCCACTTGTGTGCGAATCGATCAGTAGACGAATGGTGACCGTACGTGTGATCGATCTGTGGATGGGGTCGAATGTTGTGTTGGACCAGAGTGTTTTGTGTCCTGTTGGTTAGTCTGTGATTCACACGCTCAGTCTTGTATTACGCAGATTTATCCACCTCAATGTTTACTCTCTCTCTTAGGCGGAACGCGTTGATCCATACAAGTACCACCTCTGCACCTGAGGTTCGATTCATCGACTAGATGAAGGGAAACCCGGGTTCTTGTACTAAGGCTTATTCGAACCACGGACCATTTGATTACAAAAGTTTGTTAGGAGTTGTGCTATATGCATGCGCACTATCTACCAACTCGTCAGTTTGGGGAGGTCGTCTTTATCCTCCCCGCCTAAGACACTATTCCCAATAGTTTACCGAATAAATAACGATTATCAAGGGATCTACGCAAGACGTTTAAATCGCTTCTCCTGCTTATCGAGCGGGTTTCAGTGAGGCTAGAGACATGGCGACATTTGCTTTGCAGGATGCCATGGGAGACCTCACGTACCGGATTTTCGTTCGCAGATAATTTGAAGTCTTGATAAATGGAAATAAGGTTTACATGAATGTAGCCTACATTCTTGCGCTTTTACTGCATCAGTATCACGCATTAAAGATAGCTTTTCAGCTCGGGATTTCTCTAAATGCGTTGTTTTCCAGATGACTTTGTGCTTGATCATTCGGGTAGTTATAAGTCGACACTTGGACCCTCATATGTGTTCTGCTGCTAAGGGGATGTATGCATCATGTCATGTATATGCGTCCAAGATAATTGGAAGAACAAGATTTGACATTTTTTGCGTCACTCACAACCGTCGTTGTGGTAGTAGCTGCAATGATTTTGAAAAGATTTGTCAATTCAGCCTGGAACTTGAACACGTCAAAGTTTCTGTACATACGTGTAAAGTCCCGTGCTGTTCTGCACTTCAACTTTTCAGTTTATTTGATTTCTCGGTATATGGAGTTATTGGTAAAAAGAATTCGCGATTGGCAGGTTGCATATCAAGTGTGTCACCGAATGAATCGATCAGAGCACTGGGGAAATTTAATCGTTTTCTTCCTGTTTTTCGATTATTCTCCTTTGTTCTGTCTTCAAGACAGTTAGATCACTGTTTGAGTTTGCAGAGGTGATCAGCACATACTCGGACCCTGCAGGCAACGAGGTATCTGCCCTTTCGGAACAAGGTGGATTTATTGCTATCGAACACGTATGGAGGCAAAAATATGCTCTATATAAGCAAAATGTCTACAGCATTGCACTTTACTTTGATCAGAAGGGCTGAGTGAATACTAATCCCTCCGATTCGTGTGGTGAGCGTTCCATCTTCAGACAATAACGGAGCATTTGGTGTTTGATGTACGGTCTTATATTGTTCGCGGATTGATCAGACTAAAGGGCAGTGCGACGAGATTCGGGAATTATCGATTGAGGCTTCCTCCTGAAAGAAAAAGCACCCCATGATCACGTGACGTGAATTCCGTGATTGAAGGATGGGTGGAGTTAATGGCAATGCTGATCATCCATTCGTGCCCGAACGGTCAATTGTTCAAACCATGAACCGGGTGGTCGCAGGTTTGAGATGCCCTGGAGTTTCATGAGATTCTCACTACTGGTAATCTTGAATAAGGATGAAACAGTGCTTCTTGGTTTTTCAGACTAGCATGTTTATACTCTATAGGATGTCCTGTTTTTTTGCCAGCTTTCTCCTTCCAACTGTGTGCTCGGTTGTAAATTGTTTAGGATGATACGTTGTATGCAACCAAAAATGGGCGTTATGTCCCTAATCTAAGCGAAGCACTACGACACTGAACTCTGGTGATAGCTATATCTGCCTTCCTTAACTACGGCACCTTAGGGAATGAGCTGACTTGAGTATCACTTAGATTTGGATTGTCTTCGGTCTTTTTGTCCCCACTGCTTGATGATAATTCTACTAGTGACTTGCCTGAATAAGGCAACAGATGTTCTGCTGAATCGGTAGCTGACTCAGTTGCGGCCAAATTTGAAGACTAATTTTGTAGCATTCAGTATTTAACTGCCAGCGTCGTGATTAGGTTGATTTACAACTCTTCAAAGCACAGATGAAAAAAATACCACAATATGGCGATCAGAATGATCTGGTTGGGTTTTCAACTTCTCTCAGTGACCATGGTTAGACCGAAGTCACTTTTCCTGAAATCGGATTTCAAACTGGTGTATCTCTTTCGTCTCCAGTCCAGTTCATTTAATTTGTTTACGTTTTCTAAGCAACTGTCTTATGTTCATCTCCGTGTTTTGTTCGCACTGATTGTGCGTCACACCATGTGCTCATTGTAAAACAGATCTCTCCTATGAGATATGCTGCGAATGAACTGTGCAAATCAGATTCCAGGGAGCAATTAATCCACTGTCCAGACCCGGTATTTTTTATCTTGCTGGACATTTCGGTTCTGAAATATAATCAATGAAGTAAGGAGATAAGTTTAACTTTACAGATCAGTAATCCCACGACTACCGGGCTAAAATACGGCACCATTTTGTCCAATATAAGCCGGAAACCACTAGCGAACAGCGGGTGTTTTCGTTCATATCCTTCCTACTGATCAACTTCCGAAAGACACCTTGTTTTTCATCAACTAGAACCGACCAAGAAGTCATCGTTTCAGAAGGGTTTGCTGAAAACCACCGATTGTATACTAAACCTTTCTGAAACGAGGCTTTCTTTAAATTTGCTTGTAGGCAAATCAGAATGCGTGACACATCAGCACCAGGTTCTTTTCTCCTGTTTTCAATTTCAGTATGGTTAGATAAACCTTGTGGTTGTACAGCAGTGAGGCATCCGTGCCAACACTGATGTCGCCTCTGTAGAATACGATAATGATGATACATGAGAGGCCGGTCCTCACAAATAGATTTCATTCAGAAGGTGAAAACTGTAATTCGAAACACTTTTGAGTTACTGCTCCTCACACCATCTTCTCAAGTCGATATACTCACTAAAATGAGGATTGACGCAGGTGTGTACTCAGCTATATTCGAGCAACTAGGTTGGTGGATTAAATTGCGGCTAAATGTGTAGCTATGTCGACCGAATGGACGCCTGTGGTAACCGTTCTCACTCGGAGAATATTTCCTTGACAAGGATTTGAACAGATTACTTGTAAAGTAGGTGCTCAGATCCTAAAACTATCGTACAACAGAGATTATTCAGCGTTAAGTGAAAATGTTCAATGTGAACTGTTGAAATCGGTGTTTGTTGTCATGTTAGAAGTTTCATTCAACTGAACCGGCAAAGTGATGGCCATTCCATTCCACATCTGAGTACTCCGTTTAGGAACATATACCTCCGCACGACAGTTAATCTCTCGTGTGACCTCACTGCAACTAGGAGCACCATCTTTAGATTCCTTGTCGAATACATAAGAGATATGCTTTTACTGAACAAGCAAAACAAGCGATTTAAGATCACAGGACAAAATTATAAGCATATTAGCGGTGGCGGATGATCCAGCAGCGAACAAACGAAAGTACAGTACTTCTCGCTGAAAAGAACGCTTACGGGGTCAATCTGGCTGGCATTAATTACAGGGGTAAACTCTCCTCTATCGAGAAGCACAAGGACTGGGATACCGTCAGGTTTCCCAAGCAAAGTCAGGGGCAGTCCAGATGCAGATGTTGGGTTCGAACTACGGACCTTCCGGTCAGTAAATTCACTCCTTTGCCACTGAGCTGCTTCGAGCTCAGCTCTATCGACTGTTCGAGCGAGCAATAAAGTACGTACTTGAAATTCCGAAGATGATGCAGTGAAACTAGTCCAGGGGTGTCTTGATTGTACCCTATAACTTTTTCAACATAACATACACCCCCAAACACCGTCACCACGGCAGAAGTCCAGAAGCCATCCTCAGAGTGCAAATTTTCTTATAAGACAGTGACTGGAACTGCACCAGGGACTTTTATCTGTAAGTATTTTCTCTCTGCGGTAGCTCTGCACACAGCGAAATAACATCAGTTGATGACACTGGGGTGCATGTTGTGACATCAAGCGATATTACACTCCACAGTCATACTCGTCATAGAGATCTTTGGAGGCTGATATCATAGTTGTAAAGTTTCATCTGTTTTTCACTAGAAATATCATTCTCAGAAGAGATCGGTGTTTGACTTTTGATGCATAGTTCAGTGGTAAAATATCCACCCTCAGGAAGAGGACAAATTGCAAGAAACTGTTTTTATTAGTTTTTCTGACGTGGTCCTTCGAGATAGAATTAGTGTAGGCTTATGTCCCGCTGAAGGAACAAAACCCTTGAAGGTATTTTAAGTGAATCTCAAAGTGCTGGAAGGTGTAGTGAACCGGTTCCAATACTGAGGACTGCCTGAAATGATGACCTCTTTCAATACGTTGACTCATGAGGAACCTAGGCGTTCGAAGAACACAGGGGAGGCCAATAGCAAGTGAACTAGTATGAAAGTTTGTCTTTTCGGAGGGACGGAATTGTAATAGCTATACCCTATTGAGGCAGTATTGTATTAATTCAAGCGTTCGGACGTCTAATCCGCGTAGTAATACGCATTCTGTGATCTGGTCTTTTTTGGATGACAGTTTTTGAACTGGAGCACTGATAATGTTCATTTTTGAAAGGCGAAGATGTGATCTTCCAATATACAACCGTCAGTGCCTCGTATTCGGGGTTGTCTAGAATCAAAACGGTCGTTTGAACATAGGCTATTGTACAACAGAGCTGGGAGAGTACATTGCACTTAGGAGAGGATTCCACAGGACTATCCTATTAGAATGTTGTTATCCCGAAAACTCCATGGCGATTTCGGTTAATCCAGGAGAAAGGTACTCGTATCCTGCCCCTCAGTCCAGGAAGTAAAGCCGAGAATACTATATTTTTTCTACAGTCTAAGTGTCATTTGGTAACCAGTCCCATCAAACGCAATTTAGTCTGGGCCCTAGAGCGCGTTTTTTTCTGCTGCCTGATTTTGTCTCGCTCACAACATCAAGAGGATCGCACGGGGAAATGGCGGTAAATGGATTGTGGT